TACTGAAGCATAAGTTTCTCAAAGGTTCATCAAAAGATAAGTTCGTCAAAATATGAGTACGTCAAAAGTCATCAAAAACATCAATAGCGGAAGCGTAAGTCATCATAATAAATATACAGTCAAACCACATGAATGTCCTGAAGCCTCCGTCAGCTCATGCTCCCGGCCCGACGTCCTGACCTGAAAAACATGATAAAAGTGGGAAGTGAGCACTATGGCACTGTGCTCCGTGGAAACTCATACTAATGTAAACATTGAAAATAATAACAACATCATGATATCAGTATATACATAACCTCAACCTCAACCTCAAGCCGGTAATAACATGAACATGAATCTGAAATCGTCACGCAAACGTGACCCTGACCGTTACCTCATCTACCGGCAAAGCCGGACACCATGTGAACACTCTAGTGGGCAGACTAGGGCCACTAGAACCCAGAATGGACCGGCGACCATTTCGAGCGGATACCTCAACTGAAATACATACCTCAAACATGGTACCGTAATTATAATCAATGTAGTACTTAGTCTGAGTCCCCACCTGAACTGCTGAATTGAGCGGTAGTGCTGATGTCTGATCAAACTGAAAATAATATAAACAATTACTAATGACTATGCTCAGACTGTTAACTTAACTGATTAATTTCGTTAAGATGTTCTTCTGAACTTAACATGATATTTAGACTTAACCGGAATAACCGGAACTGACTTAACATGAACTGGTCGGACATGAATTTACTGAACTGAAATAATCCCTGAAACTTAACTGAAAATATCATTAAAATCATGAACCGGGCTGAACCTTAACATAAAAATCGAACTGATTTAAAAATGGGGCTGAACCGGTCCAGCCGGTCTGAACCGGTCTGGACCAGACGGTCAGTCCGCTGAACCAGACTGTGGGTTACTGGCTTGGCCAGCGGCCTGCCGAGGCTGCGCACGCTGGCGCTGTCCGGCCTGGCCGTGGCATGTACTGAACGATGCGGGCGCTGGACTGGATGCTGCCCGCGCTATGTGCGCGGGCGCAGGCACTAGCTAATGCTGTTGGGCGCTATCGCGCGCCGCAGCAGGGACTGGACGGGGTATGCACACACAGGTGTGTACAACTGTTGGCGGGCGTGCTACTGGGCGTCGCCCGCAACGCTACCGCGCACAGGCAACACGCACGCAGCTTCGCTTGCGCACGCTGCCATTCGCACTGACTGCTGGCCGATGCGCTGCTGCCGCTGTGTGCGGCAGCGCGACCACGGCCGGCCCTTGCCGGCCGTCCGGCAATAATTTCCGACCAAGCTGACTTCATTTAACATTTTCTGACTTAACTGGAATTTAGTTACGGAAATTAATTGAAATTTTTAAACTTTGCACAATGAACCGCACAAGACCGTGGCGGGCGCGCCTGATACGGAAGTGGCATTGGAGTCCGGCGAGTCTAGTGAGGAGCGAAATGGCAAGAGGTGTGCATGGGCACGTGATGCGCACGAGTGGGCGGACAAACCGCGCACGCGGGTTTGGCGGGGAGTACGCGGGCGCAAGATGGATGGGTGCGCGGGTGTACGCGGGAACGCCGTAGGCAATCTGGGCTGGGGCAGTAGCTGGGACGTGCGGGGGTTAGGTGGAGAAGGGATCGGGCGCCAAGGGCGCGCATGTGAGCACGCGGGCGTGCGACACAACGTGCGCGAGAAGATCGGCAAGGGCAGG